CGAAACCGACGGCCCCGCCCCGCGGGAGGCACCCGCCGGCCCCTCGGGCGCGCTACGAATGCGCGACCCGCCCGGACTCTCCTCCAGGGACACCGACCGGTCCGCACCGGAGCCTCGCGAGCACGCGCCCCGAGCGCCGAGCCGGCGCCGCGAATCACAAAGGAACCTGCCTCGCGCACACATTGTACTACAAGTCCCGGGATGCACCGCGAGGCGGTCCGCCAATCAGAAGGCGTGCTTTCGCCCGATGGGCGGCCGTGGACCGGCTTGGAGCACGTCGCCCCGCCCCGCCCCGCCGTGGACCGCAAGTGCTCCCGGGACATGAAGTTTTCCAGGCGACCAGGCGCTGCGACCTTCTCTGCGGGTCTGGGCGGTGCAGGGCGACCTCTCCCTACCAGGCCCAGGACACACACACCTCCACTCTCCCGCCAACGCGCCCACCCCATTTTCCTCTAGCGCAAGGTGAACCCCAAAAGTATCTCAGTAGAAAAAGTCTCGAGGCTTGTAAAGTGCAAACTATTTTTAGGTGTGACTCCCGGAGTCACCCGCGGGAGCGAGTGGTAGCCCCTCTGGCCGTGCCCAAGTGGGAGCTCTAATTTCACATAAAATGAATGGCTTCGGTGCTGGGGAAGGGCATGCCTAGGCCCTGGGTGGGTAGCCCAGCCGGTACCCTTGGCTCCTGAGACCCAGCCCCACTTGGGGCATGGGGGTTGCTAGCTCAGAAGGCTCATCAGGATCTTGCCTCTTGCTTTGCAGGAAGTGCACATGCTCTGAGTTGTGCAAGGCCACAGGGCGATCCAGTGGCAGAGTCAGAAATAGAACTTGAGGGATCCAACCCAGACCTGTATGCTTTTTCAGGCCAGGCGTCTGCTCCCTGGGGCAAGAATTTAAAATGAAAGATGGTCAGATTTCTTACACTTGCTGGATTATTTAGTGAGAGCTGTATCCTCCAAGTTTTGAAAATATTTTAGCTTTTCTGCAAGAACTTTAGGTAGCAGTTTAACATCACATGGTTTCCATCTAAATTGGGACAACACAATAGTCTTACACAACTGTAACGTGGGGGAAGAGCTAAGGATTTACACATCTTTGTATCCCCATCACTGAGCACAGTATTTGACCTCTAGAGCCATTCTATAAAAGATTATGAAGTAAAATAGAATAAAAGGCTAAAATAGTCCAACATCTTTCAGTCAGGCAGGAAGGAGAAAAAAAATAATCTCATAGTCCTCAGAGGCTCTTTCTATTTTTAGGGTTGCTATTAATAAATAGCCTGAATAGAATTGAGACACATTCCTACAAAGGAATATTACTAAGCAATAAAAAGGAAAAGACTGCTGATAAATTCAACAATATAGTGAATCTCAGAGCCATAAGTGGAAGACCCATGCTCAAGAGGATGACAGAGAAGTCCTATCACCCTGAGGACAACACAGATCAGGGCCACAAACCCTCCAAAACTGTTACTTACAAGAGAGAGAAATAATGTTCTCTCTGAAATCAAGCCATCTTGGGAGTCTTTGCTACAGCAGCTGAGCCTGTACCTGATTACAGATAGTAAATCGCAAGGTTCGTTGCCCCATTCCTTTGGAAGAAGAAATTTTCCTTACACTAACTAAAAAAATAGAATGCTTCTGTCTTAAGGAATTCAAATTTTCAATTGCAAAGCAAGCTGTCATGATCAGCAAACATTTATTGAGCACCTGCAATGTACAAGGCATTAACCTTGAAGACAAAAAATGCATAAGATGCATCCCCCAAACTCCAAAGTTTCCAATCTTGCTGTGAAGAATGAGCAATTAGATAAATGAATGAATAAATGGACAGTGTCCAGTGCATGTGTGATACTCTCAAAGCTTGGTGATATCAGAAACAAATATTTATACATATCTAACTTATCATTCTCTAGTCTTTACTTACTGATAAAAATATAAAACTCCAAATGTTCTCTGGAAAAAGAAGAAACACAGAGCAGTATTTTCTTGATGGTTTTTCACCCACGTGTATATTCCATATGACTTTTCTCATGCCTGCTGGACTGTGAACTCCCTGAAAACATCACCTGCTTTGTAGTTAATTCTTTATCCTGAGTTGTAGAGTGCCAAGTGTTTTGCAGACACTTAAGTGCTATTGAATGAATGTCTCACTTTAATCAGAAAATAAGGATAATGAAATCAGAACTTTAAAACTTGCAATGCAAATTAAAATTACCCTGAAATAGCTCAAAAATTAGGGAGGAAAACCCCACACAGACAAAGTTTAACAACACACTCTGGTGGCAAAACTATAAGAAAACATGACTGTGGGAAGGTAAGATGGTATCTGGATCCTCCAAGTTTTGACAATATTTCAGCTTTTCAGTAATACTTAAGGTAGCTGTTTAGAATCACGCAATTTCCATCCAAGTTGGTACAATGCTCTTTTTCTTCTTTAACTGAATTTTCATTTGTAGGAAGAGCCAGGGTTATACATACTTTTGTGTCCTCATTAAACACCTATGGAGCCGGGCTCGGTGGCTCAGCCTGTAATCCCGCGCCTTTGGGAGGCTGAGGTGGGTAGATTGCCTGAGCCCGCGGGTTTGAGACCCGCCTGGGCAGTGAGACCTCATCTCTACAATAAAAAAAATCAGCCGGGCGTGGTAGCGCATACCTGTAATTCCGGCTACGCTGAAGGCTGAGGCGGAAGGATCGCCGGAGCCCAGCAGGTTGAGGCTGCAGTGGCCGGGAGCGGCCACTGCACTTCAGTCTGGGCGACAGAGTGAGACTCCAATTCAGGAAAAAAAAAACACCTATGGAAGGAAATTTAGCAAAATTAGTTATTTGCCCTTTGACCCAGAATTTCTCCTTCTAAGAATTTACCTTGCAGACATATCTCCACAAATGTAAAACCACACATGGAAGGTTATTCCTCTAGCACTACTTTTACTAGCCATTGTAATGGGTTGAACTGTCCTTTCAAAAAAGACATATCTATGTCCTAATCCCCAGAAACTCTGACTGAGACGTTATCTGGAGAAATGGTCTTTGCAGATGTAATTAAGTAAAGAATCTCAAATAAGAATCTCAAGATCATCCTGGCTTATCTGACTGGATCTTAAATCCAGTGACAAGAGTCCTTGTAAAACAAAACAAAATAAAACAAAACAAAAAACCAGAAGATGTAAACAGAAACAAAGGAGATGGTCATGTGAAGGCCATGGCAGAGATAGGGGTTATTTAACTACAAGCTAACGGATCCCTAAAGTCATGAGAAACTGGAAGAGGCAAGAAGGGGTTCTCCTCTGGAGCCTTCCAGAGGGAATCTGACCTTGCCAACACCTTGATTTCAAACTTTAGGCTTCCAGAACTGTGAGGAAATAGATTTCTGTTGTTTTAAGCCAGAAAATGGGTACCACCAGATACTGGAGAGAATCTCTGTGACTAATAGGATCTGATTGGATAAGGTATATGCATACACACACTTCTAAAAGTGGCCCAAGCCGGTGCTGTGGCTCACGTCTATAATCCCAGCACTTTGGGAGACTGAGGCGAGAAGATTGCCTGAGCCCATGGGTTTGAGACCAGCCTAGGCAACATGGTGAGACCTTGTCTCTACAATAAATAAAAAAATTAGCCAGGCATGGTGGCTCATGCCTGTAGTTCCAGCTGCTTGGAAGGCTGAGGGAGAAGGATCACCTGAGCACAGCAAGTCGAGACTGTGGTGGCTATGAGTATGCCACTGCACTCCAACCTTGGTGACAGAGTGAGGCTCTGACTCAAAAAAAAAAAAAAAAAGTGACCCATATATCCACACAGTGTAGTACTAGGGAGAACTATGCTGCTGTGAAAAAACTGTGATAAAACTTCCTATGTGCTGATTTGAACTAATCTCCTAGATATAGTGTTAAATATAAAATTAATAGACAGAATACAAAAATATATATATTTGCTATTTTTTTCAAAGGGAAACATTGGAAGAAAAAATAAAAAACTAACATGAATGCCTACCTAAGTGGGATGGAGGATGGGGTAGAAAGGGATGAAACAGGATCCTCTATGAGTACACATTTCCATATATTGTTTTCATTTTTCAACTATTTAAGTGCTTTACACATTCAAAAAGAAAAAAAACTCTGAAGATTAAATACAAACAGAAGCAAATGGACACAATCATGTATGTGATTTGTAGCATAACTATATAGAAAAAGTAATTATTCCAAGTGACTTTGAAAATAGTATTCTGACTGTACCTTATGTGGATATATTCTTTTTGTTTGTTTGTTTGTTTGTTTGTTTGTTTGAGTTGGAATCTCTCACTCTGTCGCCCAGGCTGGAGTGCAGCAGCACACTCACAGCCATCACAGCCTCAACTTGCTGGGTTCAGGCAATCCTTACACCTTCACCTTCCAAGTAGCTGGAACTACAGGCATGTACCACCACTCCCAGCTAATTTTTTTAATTTATTGTAGAGATGAGGCCTCACCATGTTGTCCAGGCTGATCTCAAACCCATGGACTCAAGCAATCCTCTCACCTCAGCCTCCCAAAGTGCTGGGATTATAGGCATGAGTCACCGCACCTGGCCAAGATCTACAAAGAAATATTATTATCAAGAGCCAAGATTTTCAGTTAAAAGAAAGGAGATACACAAAAACTGAATTTAAAAAATTAAGTTAAAATCTGTACTATTAAATTGTACCTGCAAATATCAATTTGAACTCATGATTTAGAAATACATACATGAGTCAAAATTTATTCTTTTCTGTACAGATATGTATTGTCCACTAATATTT